TCCCTTTCTATAATCTACCCCCCGAACCCGAGAAAATCTCGAAAAAGGAATTTTTCTATGCTTTTTTTTTTCCTTGTTGGATAAAATAAAAGTCGGTGGCGACTCTTGCTTACTGCGACATTTTGCAAACACAAACGCAAAATGCAAACCAGCATTCCAAAAAACAGTCAGTTCTTCCCACCGTACCACACATGTCAACACATAAAATTGCAATTCACATCATGGCATACAAAATTAGAATTATTATTAAATTTCCATCAACATTCATCATAACTCAAAGGAAGAAAAAACCCTATAAGAGGTTAAGGGTCTCTCCACTCTACCATTCATCATACCCCTATTATTGAACTAAATTCCCATCCTTACCTTAGATTCTTCTTGCAAAATTCTTCTAAGCTTCTTCAACGGGTGATCTTCATATACCCTAGCCTTCTCTCTCTTTTTCCTCTAATTTCTCACGTATAATGCAATTGATCTCTTATTCCCTTATTTTTCTCTTTTTCTAATATAAAATGTCACTCATTATGCTTTTTCTTATAAGCCTTCACTTACTCTTCTAACTCTCTATTATATCCTCATTATTCTCCCAAATGTCCAATTTACCCTTTATTTCTCTATTCTCTTAGTTTAATTAAATAAGTCACAAAAATCATTTTTATTTTAATTATTAAATAATTTCAATAATTTTAAATTACTCCACTAATCTATAACTCTCCACACCCCTCTACCTCATGGTCACAGACCTCTAACCACACAAAATAATTTAATCAAAATACTATTTATTCTAATTATTAAATAATTTATATCAACTCTAATAAGACACAACTTATTCTCTAAACCCCTATCTATAGGAGATACACTCATACCTTCTTATTTATCTAATTATTCACACACAATAATTAAATAAAATATATATAAATCACAAAGAATTCACAAATAACACAATTAAATAATATAAATTGGAATGTTACACATTGCATGTTAGGGTTTTGATATTTCCCCTTTTCTTTGGAAATAATAAAGTTCTGAGGTGACTTCTATAATTTTGTGAGTCAAGTTAGTCAATAGTTTGATCTATCTGATTTTTCACCGCAATAGATATTTAATGTATAAGCTTAGATATATGGTGTATCAATCTTATTAGATTATCATAAAGAAAATTATGTATTGAAAGAACATCTATGTAAATAGTTTTTAAATCACGTTATTTAAAGTGACTTTGGTTTTCTTATGATTAACTTGCATTTAAAGCAATCAAGTCCTTAGTAACATCATGTATTATTTCACTAGGTTTATTTTATTTAGATGCTTTCAAGCTCTCCTAGTATTTTACTTTTCTTTCGCACATATTAAGATATTTGATTTCGTTTATGGGACCTAAAATATTTTTGAAATTGTCTTTTAGGGGATAAGTCTATTTAACCCCCTTCTAGACCTATTTGTGTCCATATTCTCACCCAACAAAGATTTACTGTCTTCACTCCTACTTTGTATCGGTTATCAACCTTAAGAAGATCCAGGGTGCTTCTTTGGTGAATCTTTCCGGACCCTCGGGAGAACTTCCAGTGGTATCCACTATGGAATCTTGTTTTGCAGGTAATATATCTTTAACTAAGACATCGTCTTTTGATGATGACAACTATAGTGACAACTATAAAGACAACTGTAAAGGCACTTATAAGGTTAACCATAAAGTCAACCGTAAAGGTAACTGATGATAAGTCAAGCATAAGCGGTTATATATACAAACCCAAGTAAAATGGTTTGATGAACTTAACTATTCAAAGAAGGAAAATAAGGTGCATCATTTAAAGCCTTAAGTGATCTCAAGTAGTGTCTACACAAAATATAATATTTGGCAAAGGGCTTATAAAAGGAGTTAATCTCCTAGGTTAGTAAGTGAATGAACATATGTAAAAGCAAAGGGATTTTTCATAAAAGTATATGGCTATAAGCACACACACACTAAAACTTTTTTTCAAATACCTTAACCAAGAGAAAATATTTTTAAAGTGTCTTAAAGTTGTGCCAGATGACTTAAGAGCAGTGACAATAGCTAAAGGGAAATATTTGACAAATCTAATCAATTAGACCCTTTTGCTAATCAATTAGATCAGTTCAAACTTAAGAAACAAGCTATTAAGACAGCACATGAATGATGTGTAACAACTATATATATGTTGGTCTCATTTCTCATTTCAAATCATTCAGAAACATGTTGTGACACTTCCCCCCCCCCCCCCCCCCCCTCTCTCTCTCTCTAAAGTTTTATTTAAATTTCTCTCACTAGATGTTATAGCCAAATCCTTTTGTGAGAAAAGTCCTTTGTGAGTGAGAATATCAATGTAATTCTAGAAGGGTAGAATTGTAGAATTCACCAAGGAAATGTTGCTTATACACCTTGGTTAAAAATAATCCATTTAGGGATAAAATGTGTGGCTAGAAGCTAAACCCGATAAAAGATTTGGTTGGAGATTGTGTAATCAATTCCTTTTTAGGTTGAAGATTAGCCGATATTAAATTCTTCCTAGGTTTTAGATTAGCTCGCTTAAAATCAATTCTGGTTTTAGATTAGCTTGATTAAAATCTCTGAGGCTATTTGGTTATCCTGTAAACCAAAACTATAGAGCTCAATTACTTTGGAACTTGAAGACTAATCGCTACAAGGTATGTATTCGTGGAAATATGACTAACTGCTTCAATCCACAATTGGGAAGGGAGAATGGTCATTTCACTCTCAATAATTTATTGGAGAAAAGATGTAAAGACCCACATTTATCGTCTTCTAAAATTTGGTTGCCGGTCAACCACCATTTTCTTGTATAAGGGGTTCACATGTCTTTCCTACTAAAAACTCTCACATATTATTGGAAACTCTCAAGACCGAGTCTTAAGGAGAAGAGTAGGTCTTTTAGTTTTGACTGAACCTCTATAATTCTCTGTGCCCTTTCTTCATCCCTTAACTTTTACTTTATGCTATTTATGTTCCACCTGCTTATTATTTAAAAATGATTTTAAACTCTTATTTAATTTGCCAAAAGTTTTCAAAATTTTGTTTTTTCAAACCACACAATTCACCCCTCTTGTGTGTGAAGTCTCAAGTCCAATATCCATAAGACGCACCTTGAAACTTGATGGACGTACGGTGTTAACTACAAACTTGTAATGTCCTTCTGATGTCGCCCCTATAACCACTTTGATACTGGTAAAAAATGTGGGCGCATCCACGTCGGGTGGTGGATTGCGAGGCTTATGCCCAACTTGCATGGAAATTTCCTTTGGATCACAACACAAACCTAGATCTGGATCTGAGATCATTTCTTCTGTCATTATTTCTCATAGAAATCATGGATCTTGACAATGAAGGTCTTGGCTGAGAAGATAATATATCACACCGGTTACCCTGGATCTCAGCGTTTGCTTCTGAATGCTCCTCGATACGGAGATATGATGGGACAATGAACAATGAAATTGACAAGTTAATGTGATTCATGGAGACTGTTGAAATAAAAAATTGAATGTGCTTCTGATTCGGTAACCTAAGAAGGCTACAACTTGGTGAATTAGAAACAAGATCTGACTCGTGAGATTTTTGTATCTAGATTTTACACGTTTGTTCAATGGCGTTTGTGATGCGAATCATGATTTTCGTGGAGAACACATGAATTAGAAGTTGATTTCCATAGACAACGCCATTGTTTCGTTCAAGAGCCTGAAATCGATGATCTAATTCCATGAAGGAACTAGAAATGACGAGAGGATGATAATAATAGTTTTCAACAGTGACTTCGATCTCCTTTACGACGACGCAAAGTGTACCTGTGTGGTTAGCATTCCAACGCTAAAGTCAGTTCAAGATGACGATAATGAAATTGAAGATCAGAGATTGTGTACCTTCTCATCTCATGTGAATTATTTTTATATTTGAATCAAATAGAGTGAACCTTTGATAGATTAAACCTTAATCAATTAGACCTTTGACCGATCCAGAACCATTATTAAAATTGATAAACCATTTTGTCATTGATAAATGTTCAAAAATATCCAAATACAAAATTACAAGAGTATATAAGTTTGTATTCAACATTCTATTTAAAGTGAAATTCTGACCCTTATACTATTAAAACAAAAATAAAAATAAAAATCATTAAACTGAATTTTTGTTAAAAATAAATGTTAAAAATCTAATCTTTATTCTACTAAATCATGAATTAAACTAAGTGGTTGGACTTAAATGATTAATTAATTTCATATATAGTGTAATGTTCAAATTATATTAGAGTTAAATCTTTATCTTAATTTCATATATAGTATTTTATAAGATTTTATTTAGCTCCAAGAAAACTATACATTAGTCAAAACCCAGTTTTATTGATTAATCGAAAAGATTAAAAAATAAATATCATTTAATGAGGTGATTCAAAAGTATTCAAGTAAATTTATGATTTGAATGTAACTTAATAAGTAAAATCATCTCAGAGTAGTATCATTTGCATTTAATAAAAAATATTATATACAATATTTTTTAGCACATTTAAAAAGAGGCTAAGTTTGCAAATAATAGATATATTGAGAAATAAAACTTTAAAAATTCTTAATACTATTTAATTTATGTTTTATTAATATTACTATTTTATAAAGTAGTTGAGTTAAATAAGTCCTCTTTTTTATTTAAATATTTCTTAAGCTTTTATGAAATATTTTAAAACGTCTATAAACACTCTAAAGATCAAACTAAATCCATAGTAAAATATAAGAAAGTTGATTAAATTAACCTAAGCTATGAGGTGAACTAAATTAGGTAACCTGTTTCTTATGATTTAGTTGTTTTCAAAACAGAAAGAGTTGGCATCCAACATTTGAAAGTTATGGTGTTATAACTTACAACCCCCAACCATATTACTTATTTCACCACAAACATTTTCTTCAAACACTAGAAGTTGAACCAACAAAAACCTCAAATACCTCTTTCTTTAAGCTAGTTCTCCCAACCACCCTATATGCTAACCCTATATAAAGCCACACACTATCCCTTTATTTCTCATAAAATCTCAAACCAAATGCTCTTGCTATACACCTCAATTACCTCAATGAAAATCTTCATCACAACTTTACTTCTTCTTGTTAGCTTTTCAAGCATGACCCTAGAAGCTCGCAATCTTTTGCAAACAATCACTCCACCAAATTTTCCAAGCATTCCCAATTTTCCAAAACCAACATTGCCACCTTTTCCTTCAATGCCAACCCTGCCTCAAGGAAATGTTCCTCCATTGCCTACCATCCCTTCTCTTCCTAAGCTCACCATGCCACCACTTCCTAGCATTCCTACTAATCCAACTCTCCCATTTCTCAACCTTCCTACAATCTCAACCATTATCTCCTCCATCCCCTTCTTCTCTCCACCACCTTTAACCTCTTCCCCTTAAAGTCTTTTTTGTGTGTTCATTTAGTTACTATGTAAGAAAGTATTGTTTGAGGCCATGAATGATGATAGTATCTTTGGTTTGTAATGTTTCAAATCTATGTATTTTTTATACTTATTTATGAATTTAGCATTATTGTTGTACTTCATTTTATGTTTTAGATATTGAATTATTACACATTTAAATACAAGTGTGTTGTCTTTCTTCTTCCTTTGAAGTCTTAGTCTTATAATAGTAAAGAATATAACTATTCTCTTATTATCTTTACATATTGGAGGAAACTGAGAAAGTGGAACAATTAGAGAAACTTCCTTTACAATTTAATGAAGGAGAGAATAAAACATAATAAAAAAAGATTATATATTACCCTTAGTTTCTTTCAATTTATAAGAATTTAACTTATACGGTATATACATTTTTTACACTAGAAAATTGTTCAAATATCAAGTATGTTGCACTATTTTTTAAAGGTAATTAAATGATTTGAATTTTATGAGAAAGCTTTCGATTTTGTCCTTAAAAGATGTACCATAATAAAATTTTAATTTATTCGGTAAATACTGGTTGAATGTTTGAAATACTCATATGAGAGATAGTTAAAAAAACTAAAATTTGTTTAATCTAAATAGATTTGGTCCGACAATATGAAATTTTAATCTATAGTTAGAAAGAATGAACAATCATAATTGAATGTTAATGGTGAAATATTCAGCAAGATTATGCATGGAGAAGAAGAAGATTAGATCCACTGAAAATAAAGTTTGTTGCAAATCTGTTATGCAAGTAACTATATTTTCATATATGGTTACATTGCTTTACAAGAAGCTATATATACAAGATAAGATACAAACATATATGGACAAGAATGCATAAACTATCTGTAAAGATGGCTCTCTATTAATGGTTAATATAGTTGTACACATGTCAATCTATTAGTGGCTAGAATAATGTATATGCTAATAGCCCCCTTAAGCTGGAGTACTGCGTATGCTACAAAGGTCCAACTTGATCAAAATGGAGTTCAAAGCGGGAGAATGCAGAGGATTTGTGAACATGTCAGCTAGATGGGCATGAGTGGAGACAGGTAGCAGGTGAATGAGTTTGGAATGAAGTTTTATTTTGATAATTTGAATTTTGTTTTGAAATTCCGTTATGCTATTTTTCTGTTAAATAGTTGGAAGATTAGAGATCTACTAGGAAGTTAGTTACATTGTGCTTCTGACTCTGTTTTTGTTAGTTGTATTGTTGTAACTCCTTATTTATTCCTATGTAATTTTTCTCTATTTTGCCTCTGAACTAATATGCTTGCTCGACTCGATTCTCCCTTATTCTCTTGTCATTTCTTTCTGATTTTTTCTCTGTTCGTACAACATAGTCTTAATTTTCTGCATTATGATTATTGTTGTCCATGGGCTACAGGACTAAAATGAGTGAACTAATTTGTTGGACATGGAAGTGCAGAGGTGGTTTATGACTGATGTAAAGTTGCTTCGGTTCTGATCTATGTCTGCAGTTTTTTTTCCTTTGGTTCTTTAAGCTGAGCAGATTTTGTTTATTGATTTGGGACACTTTTCTTATGTTTTAATTAGCGGACTGTATTATTGGTTTTAGATTTTGCTTCCTGATTTTCTGTTGCGATATTTATGCAGGTTTTGGTATAGCTTGAGAATTGATCATGATCATGATTTAGAAGCTTAAAGAAGGGCCTAAAATATGGAGTTCATGGAGTTTTGGCAAAGGAGGTGATAAATGAAGATTAAGTCATAGGTTTAATATAATGTGTTATCTTGTATGGTTTTGTAATGGCATTTGACACTTTGTAATGATATTGGCAATGTAAGCTTCTTGGATGTAATGACTGGTTCTTAAATAAACTCGCCATCCAATTTGCATTTGAATACCAAGTTTTCCTTAATTTTTTCATATAAAACGAACCATGATGCAGGATAGATGACTTGAACTCCAAATTTGAAAGTTCTTTTCTCTTTTTTTATTTGAACTTGAAAATGGTGATTTGAACCATGATGAATGATAACAAATTTGAATGAAGTTTGAATCAATGCTTGGATGATACTTGAATTAAGACTTGAACAAACCTTACTACTTGTTTCAGGTGAACAAAACCTCCAAACTTGCATGCTTTAGCCAATTTTAAATCCATTGAATGAATCGACTTTAATCCACGACATTAATCCATACCAATTCAATTCTTTAATCCCCATCAATCTTGTATAACAAACATAAGAGAATCAACACGACTTGATCTTAATGAATTCACAACACCATCCTTATATCGTGCCTTGCCATCCAATGAACATCCATTGAAAATGTTGACAAACCCAAGTATGATAGTATATAAACCCTAATCTTCTTCCTGAAGTATATGTTAAATGAAAACAAAACTTATCATCAGGGATATACAGTATTCTCAGTCAGAATCATCGGTGAGAGAGAAATAAGTCTTCAATGGTCACCATCACAAACCCTAGCTCCTCAGACCAAGATTTATGAAGGAACACGTTGACGACCCTTGAATGGAAATGGAAATCTCAAAGCCAGAGAAACCCTAATTTCCCAATTCAATGCTTGGAGGAGAAACAAAGGAATCAGCCTTATTCGATATGTGCATCTCAAAACACTATGAAACCCTTAGCTTGCATGATCATTGAACTTTTGAACCTCAGGTTCCTTATTGAATGTAAATGTATGCCATGTTAGTGACCTAATAGAATATACGCAGATGAATGCAAAAGCTTACGCCAGATAAAAGTGAAAGGGTAGGACAAATTTGAGGTATTACACCGATGAAGCGACTTAGTTGATCCCCCTAATTCACAGGGAGAATGACCCCGACATGAACCCAGATGAAGTTCATCCAAAGTTCATGAATCTTCACCCAAAATTCATGAAGTTCATCCGAAGTTCATGAATCTTCATCCAAAATTTATGAACTTCATCAGAAAATTCATCCGTTCCCAGGAAGATTCGTCGGAAACATCATGTCCACCACAAATTTCATACATTCAATCTAAAATCCTAAGATAAATTAATATGATTAAGAGAATCACTTACTTGAAAAAGGATGAATGCTAGAAATTTCTACGGTGGCGATGGCTACGGCGGGGTAGTTAGCAGATGAAAACGAGGCGACGAGAGAGCAAAGTCGAAAATGGCTAAGTAAATTTATTCACTTCCTTTTTATAAGTGTTCCCAACTATACGGGGTGACGTGCGAGGGGTCATAATTACTCAGGCTCTTGGACTGCCCTAGGAAATTATGGCACTTTAAATAGCAGCCACGTGACACGCAAAGTGATGTGTCGTTTTGACCTCCATAAATTTCACACGCGAAGCTACGCACTGACGTTATTCCCAAAGTCTTCATTGGAAAGCACATACTCGACATCATTGTGGTGCCATTCTTACCGACACATAGAAAATACAAACCCGGGGAAATCATCGTGTTTTCCACACAGATGCAAATTCTAAATGGGAACCAGCGTCGAGGCGGGCAACTTGCGAATCTACCGAGGAAGGTCCTTCAAGATAAATTGACCGTACCACACGCACGCCCTAGCCGACAGGTAGGAGAAAATGGTCATGGAAAGTGAACAAGGAGATCGATAGCCTGACGACCACATAATCCCCGACGATTAAACTGTTGAGTAACTCTTCCCCGACGATTCAACTATTGAGAAACTTTTCCCCGACGATTAGGCTAGTCTTAAGTCATCACTCTTGTTTAAGAGCAATGACTTAGGGGGCTTCTGGTCTGGACGGGCCAACACTTGGCCCTCCGTTTAGCAGACCCAATCCATCGCCCTTACTACGGTCTAGTGGCATCCAGCCCAAATCAATTATCGTTGGGGACTTCCTCACATGTCCACTAGGGATACATGGCCAATAGTTATTCGTAACCACCACCATCCTGTCCACTGAAAATAACGGGTCCAATTTCCCTATTATTTCGGGGCAGTTGACTAGGGAGGAGGTCATGTGGTGGACTCCACTACTCACGTAACCCTGGCAGTCTTTGTTATTGGGCCTAACCATCTAAACCAATACATGGATCTTGTCCCATCACTGGGGGCTATAAACACGCTCTCACGTGAGAGGGTCATGTATTCATTCGTTCACTCTTCAAGTACTTGCACTCTGATTGTCTCTATTCTTACTTTGGCAATAAAGTATCTTGCAGGTACCCCCATTCACTTTAAACCACCATTCAACTCAAAATTATGCGCCATCGACGATCTATTCTGATAAGATATGATCAATTTTAAAAAATTAAATGATTTAAAATATCATTTTTAAAATTATGAGACCAAAATAAACTCCAACTACACGATGCTACACAAAAATTTGTATCAAGTCTATTACTACATATTTTATTGAATTTATGTTTTTTTAAAATATTCCTATATCATAAAGTAATTGAGTTAAGCCATTTTTTGCAATTTAAATAAATCTTAAGTTTTTAGGAAATATTATAAAATGTCTACGAGCACTCTAAATATCAAACTAAATCCCATAGTAAAATATAAGACCAATTGATTAAATTAACCTAAGCTATGAGGTGAACTAAATTAGGTAACATGTTTCTTATGATTTTGTTGTTTTCAAAACAGAAAGAGTTGGCATCCAACATTTGAAAGTTATGGTGTTATAACTTACAACACCCAACCATATTTCACTACAAACATTTTCTTCAAACACTAGAAGTTGAACCAATAAAAACCTCAGATTCCTCTTTAAGCTAGTTCTCCCAACCACCCTATATTCTAACTCTATATAAAGTCACACGCTATCCCTTTGTTTCTCATAAAATCTCAAACTAAATGCTCTTGCTATACACCTCAATTAGCTCTTACAATTCATTAAGCTATGGCCTCAATGAAAATCTTCATCACAACTTTACTTCTTCTTAACTTTTCAAGCATAACCTTAGAAGCTCGCAATCTTTTGCAAATAATCACTCACGACGTGACATAGTTGGTCGAATGC